ACCAAGACAGCAGGCTCTCCTTGGAACATAGGCTGAAACAGCAGACCTTCCTGCACACCCACACAGCTGGCTCTCCACTACACACAGGCATCAGGACCTCTTCTGAGTCTATATACACAGCAGACCCTTCACCATACACAGAGAACAAACCTTCATACCCACACTGTAAGTTTTCCTCTACACGCAGACAGCTGATACTCCCCTGCACCCAAACCGAAGGTTCTTCTCTGTACCCAGGCAGCTTCCCTTCCTCTTACCCAGCCAGCAGTCCCTTTTCCCACAACTAGACAACAGTTTCACCTCCACACTCAGCAGCAAGTTATACACAAGGTGTTGTACTCGTGGAGAACCTCCTTTGTAACTGCTTCCTTCAGCCCCCAACTGTTGAGGTGCCCTCTGAAGTGCAACCACCCTCTGACTATACCCTGAACTTAAATATTGTCTCCAAAGTTGTGTCTTACCCCACCCCTCACCCATCCTGCCCACCATGTGTCACATTCTGCTCAGGGAGACTCATTAAGCACCCAGAATCTGACACTATGTTGATCCAGTCTTTACTCTGTATTTGAAATAAGCAAAACATGAAGACAGATTGATTTGGAACAACTTCAAGCTGTAACTCAGTTGGTAGAGTACTGGACTAGCTTTGTACAAGGCCCTAGGCTTTAATCTTCATACAAACACTGAATTCCCAGTAGTTGTAAAGCAGAGGCAAAAGGATTAGGAATTCAAGGTCATCCTTGGTAAATAGCAGGTTTGAGACCAGTGTAAACTAGGTGAAAGAAGGGGTGTGTGTGTGTGTGTGTGTGACAGAGAGAGAGAGAGAGAGAGAGAGAGAGAGAGAGAGAGAGAGAGAGAGAGAGAGATTGATTTAATGCCAGGGTAGCCAAGCATGGTAGTTACACCTATAATGTCAACACTTGAGAGGAATAAACATGAGAGTTGCCTCAAGTTCAAGGACAACTACACAGCACATACCCAGACAGCCTCTCTCAAAGAAACCAATAATAAAAGACTAAAATGGCATGGAGGAAATGTACGGTTAAGCAAACTGCCATACCATCACACAATATTGTGCTGTCTGCCTAAGAAGAGCAAGGGCACAGAGGAAGGAGGACGTGAGTGGGATGCAATAGCAAAGGAGGGCACGTTTGGTGACATAGGCTGGTACAGTGTCATACAGAATGTACTCTAATGGCAGGCTCCTGTGTCCCAGGCCAGTGCTTCCCAGGTGACCAGGACAACCCTGCATGAGAGAAGATCACTGCAGATTCCATAGTCTGCTGAGGTTGAGCATCAATGCAGGAGAGTCACATACAACTCCAGGGGGCCAGAAGAGAGTGAGAACCAGGTCCTTAGGCTTCTGAGTAGCCACAAACCAGACTGACCCCCCCCCCCAGCAGAGGCTGTAAGACTCCAAGCAATAGTGAAGAGGGTGCCAGAACTGGCCTTCCCTTGTAAATAAGGTTGCGACCACCTTAATTGTTATCATAGAACCTTCATCCACTAACTGAAGGAAGCAGACGCAGAAATTAACATCTAAGCCCTGGGCTGAGCTCTTCCTGGAGTCCAGTCAAAGAGAGGGAGGAGAGATTATATGAGCAAAGGGGTCAAGATCATGCTGGGGAAACCCACAGAGACAGATGACTAGAACTAGTGGTAGCTCACTGATTCTGGACTGACAGCTGGGGGACAGAACTATGAACTGGCTTTTTGGAGCCGATTACCTATGGATTGATACCTTGCTCAGCCTTGATCCATTGGGGAGGGGATTGGTCCTGCCTCAACTTGATATGCCAGACTTTGTTGATTCCCCATGGGAGGCCTTATCCTTTTTGAGGAGTGGATGAGGGTTGGGTAGGGGGAAGGAGGGGAGGGTGGGGGAACTGTGGTTGGAATGTAAAATTTTAAAAAACAAACGTTTAAATAAATAAAGGAACAATGCCACACCCTCACGTTCTTGAACAAACCAGTGTCGCACTAAGACTGTCATTGAGAGAGAAGGAAGCATTTCCAATATGCAAGGCCTTGAACAATCACTAGGGTCCTTATTCAGGAGAGATGCAGAGCTGTCTCCTCAATGAGAAAAGAAATCCAAAAAAGAGACAGCTGGACACAGAGCCTTGGATTCACCCAGCTTTAGGGAACCTCCAGCTACCCGGGCAGGGTGACTAATGTGTTTTCCAGATAGGGTGTGATTCTCACTGTGGCAGGACCCACCCAGCCCCAGCGAACCAAGAGCCCTGTCCAGACATGCAGGAAAGCAAGGGATCCCAACAGCAAATAAACAGAAATAAATTAGGTGTGAGACCTCATTTTTCCTGAAATTTATTTCCCAGGGGGTATTTCTGCCACTGGCATACTATTTTTTAAAATGGACTAAGGACCAAGAAAGAGGAGGCTCTAATCTGGCCACACAAGGCAGGACTCCTTCTGCTCCTCTGTGGCTATAGCTCTACTGTCCCTGATCCTGCCCCTGAGGTACAATTGGCTGCCTTCACCAGTGTGCTCTTCTGAGTCAGCTTAACAACCCACGGGCAGGAGCTTAGTCTGTCTCAATGTCATTGTCTACTCTTCTGTGCCTCTGAAGCGTCATCCCACATAGCTTGTTAACAAAATAAAAACCCACAAATGAGCATGCTTTATGTGACAAGTTTAACAAGCAGGAATTTCAGATCCAATTTCATTTCTGCCAAAAATGAACTGTACCACAATTGGTTTGCTTGTCACTCATTAATACATGATTTAATTGTTTAATTTTAAACATTATGAGCTATCAGCATGTGTGTTTCTTGATGTTTCAACATTCAGATGAATGTTAGTTGGTTGCAAAATACTTCATTTTTTTTAGAAGAATCTAAAAGGTGGTGTTACGTTATAAACTACCATCCATGTATAAATTTGCTTTCCTTTTTTATGTTGCTGTTTATTGATTTAAGCATTTATTGATTGCTTGTGGTAACCTTAATGCTGACCATAGATTCTTCTTCTAACTCAAGAATATCCCCTTTCCCTTCTTTCATACTTCTTATTTTTCTTTATACCCCATTTTTCTGCATATTTTAAGACAGTGAGTGTGCTAACCTTAGTCTCTATTCCTTTAAATTTTACTATAGGTGTGTGTGGCTATACCTTATCTTGCTAGGCTGAACTGCTCTCTTTCTCATCACTGGAAGCATCCCTTCCAGACCCAAGAGCAGGAGTCTGCTAGGAAGGGTTTTCTGCTTATTTATATTGTCACACTTGTACACAAACAACAGAGAATCAGAGCTGCTTACACAATAAAAGAGTGCATGGAGGTTCTACCATTCACTGAACACTCAGCAATAAGCTGGATACTTTTGGTGTCTTATTTAATTTAGCAATTGATAACTCTAGGAAGTTCATGCTTATAAGGCAGCATACATAGACCATGAGGTAGTAAGTGAAGATATATAAAAATCTGACTCTGTCTGATCTTAATCATTTAACAGCTCAACATTACACTAGTTGAGTAGCAGAATTATAACCTCAATTAAAACTAGATGACTTCTCCTATAGTCAATGGAAACAGGATGGAGTTTTCTGCCTTCCCTTTTCTTTCTTCTTTCTCCATCCCTGCCTTTGTTCCAAATCTGTGTCCAGTGTGATTAGATTCTTGGGGAGACAGTAGTACACAAACATTCATTTGCTGCCCATGTAGATGAAATTATTATCCTTAGAGGATGAGGTTTAGAAGGGAAGGCTCTATACCCTACACCCTAGTGTCTCATATAATTGCTGAATGCAGCTTCCCAGGCCAAAGCAAGGATGTTGAGTACTTGGGTCAACCATCTTTGTGTTTCTTATTTCCTTTTCCACTGAGTTTGTTGTTGCTCATAGAATTCCCAATGAAGGGTGTTGATACTTTAGGGCAGGTGGACCATGTCAAGCTGAGGAACTAAAATGTAGATATTTATAAGTTCCAAAAACATCTCTAGCCATCTTTCCACAGAGTCAGCTTGACATCCTTGAAGTCTTTCTCCACCAGTTGATCTGTTAAGGTTTAAGATAACCCAGAGGTTACAATCCCAGGGAATTGTACAGTAATGGTACTGAAATGCTCATGATAAATACAGCAATGACTATCATGGAAGATTGTGCCGACATAGGTAACACCCACCAGGGATCCCTCTAGGTTTACAGAAATCTCTGCCTCCTTACCCCAGACCTCTGCCTTTTCCACTCTTATGGGAGTATTTGAACAGCTGGACATGTTGATGGGAGCCTTGGGTTTCAGGTGTCACTGTCTCCACTAACAGGAGAAATTTGAGCCAATGGGATATGTTCTCTAAGTGCCAGGCTTTTTCTTTTCACTCGTAAAATTAGCATAAAGTTCAGAGAACACAAAGAATATCAAAATGTTCCTTAAAGTGTTCTAACCCTGGAGGTACGTACCTCCAGGAGACTGCCTGGTTCATTTCTCTCTCCCTCCTCCCCTTCCTCCCTCCTCCTATCTCTCCCTCCCTCCCTCCTGTCCTTCCTTCATTCTCTAGCACGTATACGTGACACATGTGTATACAAGTCAGAGAACAACTGACAGAGTCAGTTCTGCCCTCTTCCACCATGTAGGATCCAGGAACTGAACCCAGATCATCAATCTTGGCTGCAAGTTCCATCTCACTAGTTCAAGCACAGATAGATCAGCACTTCTCAAGTAAATGAGGCTTACATGAATCCTCCTGTGGAACTCGCCCAAAGGCCATTGGGAATGTAGAATCTATCCCAGACTTAGTAGGAAGGTAGGGGCTTTGATGGTTTCCTGAATGTGCCAGCCTAAGCAGGGGCCAGGGAAGACCCTGTCTCCGGGCAAGAACAATGGCTTGAATACAGGGATACATGGCTAGCCCACGGGGGTATTCTGGTTCCTGAAAAAGGTAAAATGTCATCAGTCATAGAGGTCATCTGTTTACATTATCTCCTAATATGTTTGTGAGAGCCTTAGGTGCTTAATGCTTTTCCATTTTTTTTTTTTTTAACAGATGGAGAAATGGAGGCACAGAGAAATTAAGTGACTTGGCCACAGTTACAAGCTGGGGAGGACCAGGGAAAGCCTAGAGAGAGCTGGCTCTGGGCCTGCATCCTGCCCACGGAGTCACCCTGCCTCCGTCCTCAGGAGAGAAGGCTTTCTACAAGGTAAGAGGATGTGTATTACCCTGCCTCCATGCTCAATAGGGATAGTTTGTGTGCAGAGCTAGAGTAGCACTCTCCATTCCAGATCAGATCAGTGATGATTGACATCCTCATGTATTCAGCCTGGGCACCTGACCCTCTATCCTGGCCGCTCTGGGTCTCCATTGCCCTTATGTGACTTCCCCAAGTGTTAATACCCTCAGCCTTGATGGGCCCCAGTAACTCCGTGTCTCCTGAGTATCCACCGTGTTGTCCCTGCTGCAGCACTACTGTCCTCTTTAAAGCCCTCACTCTAGTCGTCACCTTTCCCGTCATGTCTAACCCTTTTTCCTTTCGGATGGAAAGTGCCACAGTCCTGGAAGTTAGAAATGAATGGGGGGATGCTTCCACCACCCTTCAAGAGTTCTTCTCTTGTTTGTGCCTGTCGCAGCCTCCCTACCCCTCTCACAGCCAGCACACTTCATTGCCTTTGAGTTCAAAGGCAACTACTACCTCCTGGGCCTTCACTAGGAGCCTAACCCTCACATTCCGTATGTCAGGCAGGGAGGGGAGAGGGCATGAACCAGGTTTCACTCATCACCTCTATCTGCAAAGTGTTCACCAATCCCACAGAAGGCAATCCCACAGTGTCCCACTAACAGCCGCAACCATCAGTCCACCCCACAGAATCTTGCTGTCACATTGTGTGTCTGCTGCTTTTCCTTATACAATTTCTACAAGTTAAATTGAGAAATTTTACATTGACTGGTGTTGTGAACTGGAAGCCCATTTATCTCTCCTAATTTTTCTATAACCTCTTGAAAATTATGTCCTCCCTTATTTCACATGAATATCTGGTCTAGATCCCAAAGAGAAATGTGCTTACACCACAAAATTCTCTAAATAAAGGTGTTGTCATACTTTGGAAAGTCATGTTTAGTTCTCACAGCACTCTGCCTTAACACTTTGCAGGAATGACCAGAGTACATGATTTCTCATACTCGTTGCCCTTCACAGACAGGTTTCTGTGGTCCAAATTTACATGAGCCTGAGCTGAGTATGGGCACATGTTCTGCTGTGGAGCTGGAAACATGGTGTGTCTGTTGCCTAGGAGACAGTGGCTCCCTGAGCAGGTGCTGGTGGGGCACACCAGCCCACACACGCAGCTGTGTTCTCACACCTCTTCTCTCCAGTGTCTGCTTCTTCTTCACCATGTTTTCCGTACAATTTGGCCTCTGCCGCTCCTCCAGTCTTCCCTCTCAGTGTGGGCAACCATCAGTGAAATGGATTTGAGTAGGGAGGACTGAAGACAGATCAGCTGATTGGCACAATGGGTAACTGCTTCCTGAGTAACTAAGGGGGGAGAGGGTGATAAGGCAGAGTTAAGAATCAGCTCATGTGCTGGGGTCTAATTCAAAGCTGCTCATACCCAGATTGCAATTTAGGACCTCCTCTGGTCCCTGTCTTACAAGGAGGACCACGGAGGAAAAGAAGGTCCACAGTGTGGAGATATAATCCCAGTACCCAAAATGTAGCTCCTACCTTCCGGTATCTGGCACAGACAGCAACCTCCAAGGGCTCCCACACACTCCACAGACTCCTTGAGAATACAATACATTTAAAATATTATACTCTTTTCACTGGGGCTGAACCTGAGGAAAGTGTGTTTTATTGGGAGAAATAAGATCAAAGTATAAGATAAATCCAGATTCCAAACGTGAAGTTTGCATGCTAAGAAACAATTCACATACTCTGCCTTCAATACATCATTCCTGATAGCTCTTGTTGGCACAGAACCATTCTTAAGCTCAAGACTTTTCTTTAAGTATAAAACCACTTAAAGTTCTTTAGAAACATCTATCATTAGTTTGAAAATAAATAGGCTTATGGGAAAAAAAGGATGGATGCTAATGTAGTCCTTTTAGTGTGGGCTTCCTACTGTAAATTGCTGAAGGAGACTTCAGAGAGCCAAGCAAGGAGTGAAGTTAGCATCTCCAGTAGCAAGGAGGGCAAAGCTGGGTTTTGGAAACTATCATGGAGTCATCCTTGGTACAGCTAAGGAAGCTCCTGCAGCTCTTGAACTGAAAGCCCATGAGTCACAAACAGTCCAGGCTCTTGATTGCCACTGATGGTATCCAGGATAGGGCTCACCAGAAAAAAACCAGCCATCATTCTAAGATCTTGGGGTGTGAAGAGCATGGAACTCCTGAAAACAAGTGTGCAGGGACCCTTCAGAAGTACCTGGCCTGTGACCACATGCTATTAGGTATGACATTAGGAAATGCCACTGCACAGTATATGCAGTTATGCTGAAAGCGGCCTGTACTGTTGGCACTTGCTGAACATCTGTAAGGGTAGAATGCAAACAAATTTGAAATGTTTCACCCTGTGATTTCCTCAGCTGAAAGGAAAGGGGGAGTCAGCACTTATTTAGTGTCGTGTGTATATGGTATGCTGGGTTAGACATTTAAAACTATATCTATCATTTAATCATCATGGCAAGAAACATTGTTTGGTAGAAAACAAAACACATCCCAACGGGGTTAGTGCTGTATAAACTAGCAGGACCAGAAGGGAAAAATAGAGCCTGTGACAGGGATTTAGCACAGAGCACAGAGCAAGAGAAGCATTTCAGTGTGGCTGGAGTAGTGTGATTACATAATAAGCAATTAGTGGGAAAATGGCTGTCCATTTCCAAAGGCAGAATTGACCTGTATGCGCAAAACAAATAAAAAACATAAAGGGCCAGGCATGGTGACATGTGCTTTTAATCCCAGCATGTGGAGGAAGTCGGGTCTACATAGTGAGTTCCAGGCCAGCCAAGACTGACATGACCTTGTCAATAAATAACGACAATGAAAAAGACTATTAATTTAAATGCAAAATCATAAAATAGTTCTTCTTTGGCCACCTGAGCCATTAGCTGAGGAAGCCAGTGTTCCTATCCCACACCCATAGGGAAGAGCAGGATCTGCCATAGCTTGGACTTGACGTTATTCCCTGAACTACATAAAGCCAGAAGCATCATAAGAACAGGGTTCTGAGTAAATGTGACAGAAAAGTGACATCTGTTCCCTTCTGAAATCAGGTACAGACCTTGTTGACTGTGGCCCTTGGTGAGCACCACAGTATGGCCTGGGTTTTGTTTTGTTTTGTTGTTTGTTTGTTTTGCTTTGTTTTTTCCATATTCTGATTCCTGTGCCTTGAATATCTTTCTCCTGTCCCATTTTAACCTGAAACATCTGACTGACTTCAATGCTCAGCTCAAACATCAGTCCCTCAACCCTTCACCACAGACAGATTTTACCCTCACACTGTTAATTCAATTTTAAGTTCCTTAAAGAATAGCATTTTGAATGTTCCCTCCCCCTGGATAACTTTACGGAGGTCTGAGAAGATGCACTGTGTCTACAGAACACAAGCTGTTCCCTCACTATAGGCTTTGCTCTCTTGCTTCTTTGGTCCTGTACAGCTTTGCTGAAAGTTTGCTTTATTTTGAAAAACCTCCTGTTGAATAGCAATTTCAGAGCCTCTATGTGTCCATTTTTTTGGGGGGAGGGCACTGTTTAAACTACACTCCCACACTAGGAAAGCATTCAGAGGGTAATAGGAAACCATAGTAGTATGAGATGCAAAAGATGCCCAAGAAACCCCCAACAGTCTCTTAGGTACCTTTATTCCATTCATGTCTTCTTCCCTAGATAGTCATGTTCTAGGAGTGAGGGACCAGCTCACAAAATTAGTTGACCAGCATCCTAGCCAGCCTGTCTGGGCAACCACGTGAATCCTCTCAGCCCAGTCTTCTTCCTCATCTTCTCAGACTGCAGCTAAGTCATTCCTTCTCCCATAACATTTCTATGATTCACCCCACTCATGCCACCAATCTCTGTATATCTGTGCCCACTGTCCTCTTTCTAGTCAGTACTGGCCTCACAGTGTTCCCTTCAAGTGCCATTTTTCCTCTTTGATCCATGAGATGTTCCTTTCAATACACTGCCTCTGCTCTGGTACCTCTAGGCCTGCAGTTTCTCAGAAAATGCCTCCACCCACCCATCCATTTATCCATCCATCCATCCATCTATCCATCAACTAAGGGCTTTGTTCAGGGATACATTGCAGTCTCTTTCCATACATGGACATATGATTCTCAAGTACCATAGCATTCCATGGGCATGTGTTTCCCATGAGCTCTTTCTTTTCTGCAGCTGTCTTTTATATACTAAATCAGGTGCAGACAGGTCCCATGAATAGATATTAAATTAATGGAAAGAGCTTATTTTCCTTATTGTATGATGTGCCCTGATGCCACATTGTATCCATGGAAAGTAAATGCAGACACTCCAAGTTAGAGCAGATAGTAGGTCCATCCACTAAGATATGCCTCTAACAAGGCCGTGGCCATCTCTTGGGTCTCTTCCCAAGGAGTAAGTGGCTTTGGTACATGGTACACCAGACAAGGCAGGGAATGTGCTATAATGTCCCCCATCTTGTGCCCAGACATGGCAAAGAAATCACACATGGAGTTAACAAATGAGCATCAAGGAATCTGAGAGAATTTTTTACTGTTTGTATATCACTACTAGTCTCTTATCAGCCCCTATGTTATATTGACTAGAGTTACATATATACCTACTGAATGAATTTATATTCATATCTAATAAATTAATATTTATGGAAATAATTGGTGTAAAAGGTATTAGTAAATATTCCCCTTATGCTTGTTTGTCCCTATGGCTTAAAGGGAACATTTACAGCACATGTGTGTTTCCTGTCCATGAGTTCAGAACTGTAAGGTTTTTCATAGATGAAAGAAACATAAAAATTTTCCTTACAAGAGTGATACAAGGTTCTAATGAAGTGCAACTTGAACACTTAACACAACAAAGGGTTTATTTGAGAGGAGAAAGGATAGTAAGATGTCATCTGGGGCTTCCTTTCTGTGTCAGATTCCTTTCTGTGTCAGATATCATGTATATACTGTGTCCTCTGCCACAGACAAAGATCTGTGTACCTAAAAGAACCTGGATGATTTAGACTGAACAATATGGAAAGAAACCCTCCAATGATATAAGTCTCATTCTGCTCACTTCTCTTTTCTCTAAAGTCTTTGTCATATTAACCTAGTCAGTTACAAGGAAAATCTAGATACTATTTATCTTCTTGTAAAGATAATATGTGTCTATTATGGTCTTGGTACACACTATAAAGCAGACAACCAAAGGTGTCCTAATCAAATCCTCAAGAGGAGAGCTGGATGCCTGGAAAGCCATCCAGGTCTGTGACTGGACAATGCAGAGGCTTAGTGGTTACTAGATCTGGTTCACTTATCATTCTAGATGAACACACTGAAGACTATTCAGCCTTTGCTTACCTGTGGTGCCCTGTGGTGACCTTCCTTTATAGAACTATATAGGACGAAGGGCCTATGACTAGAGAACCAGGGCTAATCAAACATGCTAGAGACAGCCAGTCTTCATTCACAGGACAAGGGCACTGACCACATGAAAAATCTATTCCCAGATGGACGTGGACGCTGAGGAGAAACGCCATCGCACACGGTCCAAAGGGGTTCGAGGTAAGTGCACTTCCCCATATCTCTGAGTCTGGCTGGGTACCTTCATCCCAAAGAACTGCTGTGTCAGTTAGCTCTAACCACCCAGCACTGCCACCTTTTTGATAATTTTCCATGGGAGAAGAGTCCCTGTGACACATGATAAATTTTTATGTTTTCCATCTTTCTGCAGTTCCTGTGGAGCCTGCCATACAAGAGCTGTTCAGGTTAGTGCTTTGTGGGGGAGAGGTGTTCGCAGCAGCAGTTTAAGAAACTCATGCCTCTGAATGGGTGCACTGTACTTACAAACTCAATGGCAACTTGTTCATAGCCTGCTACAGTGAAGAAATTAATCCCTCTGAAACTGCAGATAAAAAGCATTCCTGTACCTCCTCTCTTGGTCATTGCCTTTCCCATCTCTCCTCCTCCTTTGGTCCATCCTTCCCTCCCTTCCTCCCCCTACCTTTCCATCCTCCCTATCGCTCTCTGTCTCCCTCCCCCTCCGTCTCTCTCTCTTTGAGAGGTCTGCTGCCGTCAGTGTCCACAGAAGCCCATGCAGCTATATAATCAGCTCTTTCCTATTGCAGCTGTCCCACTCCAGGCTGCGATGGCAGTGGTCACGTCAGTGGCAAATATGCACGACACAGAAGGTAATGCCTGCCTTTTTCACAATGTGCTGTCTAAGATGGCTTGTTTAAAGACCCAGTGCAAGTGAAGACATGTGGGTAGGTGTTTGGGGATATAGTGCATGCCACCATTGTCTTCTTTGCTCTCACTTCTCCATGAACTCCATGTGCTACCCAGTTCTCCAAGCACAAGCCACTCCACGTCACGAATGTTGAAAACAGTATACACATTGGCACCAGTTGTGATGAGCCTCACATTCTCACCTGTGAGTCTATGATCAGCATGCAGAGGGCTTGGGGCTTTCCATGATCCATGAGGAAGGCTAAGTCCTTCACTCTCTCCTCAGGGGGGATAGTAAACCTCAGGGGGTAGATTAACACAAGACCCGTTGAGCTTTATAAAGTAACTTTGGTCTCATCATCTAAGAGATCTTGTTCTGGGAAGCAGACAGAGGTGATATCCAGACAGCTACAGGGAATGCTCAAATGGGATGAGAGTTGGGGAAGATCACACTCATAGTCCTGAAGACAGGTGGTCTTGTTGCTCTTACAAATACTAGGTCTCACATCTCTAATGGTGAGGGGTGTGGAGAACATCTGGAAGAAAGATAGCTAAAAAAGAAATGCACCAGGGCAAGAGCATCTTACACATACCTGTGGCCAGCTGTCATACCTATGTTTTGTCTTTACATCTGCTCTGACAGCAAACACGGGTGGGTCCTGCTGTACGATGGCCCATACATGATAGGTGAGAAGTGCTCGCAAGTTATGATGATGCTATTCTCACTTATTTTTCCCAAGTCAATTTGTGAGGACTAAGGTCATCCTATTCTACAAGCCATCTGTAGGCCAGACTGACATTTGAGTTGGTTTTGCCAGAGATGTTCAAGGTGACCTCTCCTTTTCCTCATTCTCTATTTTCTATCCAGTGAAACAGTAATTTGTGGGTAAAGCCAAGCTATTATTTTGACTGTGACTTTGTGAAATCAAAGGGAAATTCATGAATCATTCCTCAGATCCCCATGATGACACAGAAGAACACATGGGGATTGCTCAATGAGCATCCACCACAAGATGGCTGTCTGGTTTCCCCATGACATACCAAAGGAGGCATGGGCAACTTTTCTCTAGGAACTTTTAGTTTTAAATTACTAAGTTTAATGTGTTGTATCATTACATACCATATAAAGTTGTAAATTGCTGAATCAGGTAATGAGACTGGTAACTAAAATATAAATTTTGCTCTGTGGAGAAGTACACATGTAAGGTCTTAGTCTGTGTGCTTAACGACAGCATTGTGAGCTCAATAGAAAATAGTTGGCAAACTGCAGGCGGCATCTATTTTCTCCTAATCATCTCTTCATTAGCTGATAGGCTTTATCACAGCTATGAAAATAGATTATTAAATTTGGTTAACATAATTTAACTGGGATTGTGCTAGATATCATTCCATAGCCACAGTTGTGCAAAGGAAAGAAGAAAAAGAAAGAAATGTCAAAGAATAATTACACTCATTTGGTCTTTATTCTGTGAACAAATAATTGCTGTACCATATGGGGTTATGTTGTGGTATTTCGAGGTATGCTCACTCTCTTCTCCTACCACCTCTGTCAGATCCATCACTAAGGTGAATCCCTGGAATGTGTGGATCAATGTTGCCATGAGTGATGTATATTCACTTCTTCCATGACTGTGTACTCTGCTTATACATGGTTTCTGAGGGAGACCTGAAGGCTGTTTGGACTCATATTCCATTTTAGGGTTGACCCTGGTATGAAGCACTCAGGTGGACTCTGAGGATAGACACAGAACCATGCCAGCTAGAAAAGTTCCCCAAAAGCCTGTTCAAATAAAATGATAAAAATGATCATAACAATATATCCTGACTCATTCCCTCTGTTTACATTGAAATGTTTACCAGAAAGTACACATGCAATGTGGTATGTGTAGAAACCAATGACTCCAGTCTAGGGACCTGGATTCCAGTTTCTCCTGTGCCACTGATGAGCAGAGGCCACACGACAAGAGTGATCCAGTTGGCTGTGACCTTCAGAGTCCTCAGGACACTGGTGAAAACTGCCAAGCAAAGCCAATAGATAATGCATTTTAACATCTGCCATTATGCCAGGGTTAGAAGATTTTGGTTGTATCTAGCTTTGATTTCTCTGGTTTCAAAGTAACTGCTGGCAGTTGTGGTGCCTGTAAGAGATATCTGATGTGACTTAGACGTGGGGCTTGTCTTAACACGTAAGACGTACATGGGAGCCATAGCCTGGCATGGATGAAATTACCTGCCTTTTTCATCCTTTTAGCCATGTATTTCTTGTCAAATGCATTCTCCTTAAGGCTGCAGTTTCACTTAGCTTCTATGTCCCCTCAGTCCATAGTGTTATTTTAAGATGTTGAAATGTCTCTTTGAGCATGCACAAAATGACTAGAGGCAGATGTGGACAGTCCATGTTGTAAAGAAAAAAGAAATCAGTGGTGGGGGGGGACCCAAGGTAAAATGGTGCCTATCATATAGTCCTTTAATTAAGAAAAGCGATACTTTATCACCCTTTTAGTTTGCTGTCTCTGTACTTCTGAGGCTTAAAGGATAAGGCTCTATGTGTTGGTCCTTGTGGATACTGACTCTGTCACAGTAGATGGAAATGTTGGGAATCCTGGGGTGATGGAGACAGGGTGTAGATTTCAGAGAAATGGGGAATACACCAGAACTAACCACTAGATAAAACCTAGGAAAGGAGACAGTTCAGAATATTTCACAATTTAAGGTTTGGATTTAAGTATTAGGGTCAGAGTAGGATTATAACATGCATTTGGGAATGTTTTGTGTCAATTTCTATATTGTGCCTTAACAAAAGACAAACTGTAGGTATTTATTTGTTTGTGTTACTAGCTCATAATAATTCATGGTCTCTGGTAAACCAATTACACAATTAAATGGTAAATTGAAAGTTAAGCTTAGTATAATCTGTAAAGGAAAGAGAAGCACAGAAATGCAGGCTATATCAAAGTTCAGACGGTACTCAGTTCAGTATGAGTCTCCTGGCAACCAGGGCAACAATGAGAAAGATGGGAGATAGAGCCTCAAGTATTTGACAAAGGCATAGCATCGGCCCCTCGGAGCAACAACCTCTTGGTACCTAGTATAAGAGTATCTCAATGGATTGCTGACAGTGGGATCCAAGCTCAGCTGACAGTTTGGTGCCCCCATCAGCTAATCTGGGCTTGGCTTCTCAGACCACTAATAGATAGGACACATGGTGACCTTCAGACCTGGCAGCTGACTGTGGACACAGGTCTGCCCTTTGTCCCTTATGTGGTTTTGTGTCACTGTCTGTGAATGTATCGAAGACATGCATGCAAGGATGGGACCTGACAAAGTGTACCCTGAGTATTGGAGACAGTTCTTACATTATGAACCTTCTGGTCTCTTCTGTACACAGTGAATATGGTCACCTACACTGTCATACTGTGTATGGGTCTGTGTGTGCAGCTACCCTGCTCCTCTACTATTCTAAGACTTCCTACCTCGAGCTAAGAGGATGCCAGAGAACCCAAATATACATCTCATTCTTTTTGAGTTCCTGAAGTGTCATCTTAGGTCCCAAAGCCTGGCTGCCACTGTATTCTCTACCCCACATGTCCAAGATGGCTTGTAGGACCTGTGAACATCCAAAGTGCCAAAGACTAGAGCTCTCTTGCATGTCAGCAGTTATGATTTGGTGGGAGAAATGGAACAGGCATATGACATTCATCAAGTTGCTATATGGCCTCCTCCTGGCCTTACCGAATAGTTGAGGACCTGAGATTTAACAGTTGCTTAATGTGAGCAACTCTGAAAGTGCAGAAGGCCCTGCATAAGCTTCTGAAGACCCCAGCAGAGGACAGGTGGGGACTGGTTCTGTGCATTGCTGCTGTCCTCCCCTAAACCAAAGGCTGAATCTCTGTGTTTGGGTTGCTGATAAGTGAAAGAAACCACTCCAGTCTGGGTTGTGGGAGTTTGGGGGTTAGTGTGGGTTTGAGCATGGGTTGTGTAATGTGGCCCAGGTACCTCATCAAAGGTGTTGTCATTCATCTACAGTGTTTTATGAAATGATCCTGAGATACAAGCTATAAAGCCAGATGTCAAAAATTTCTACAGAAATCTGTTTTTCGTCCTCAAATTACTTACTACTTTATTTTCATTAATATTTTATTAATTTTTCCAACAAAAATAATGGCATTAGTATTTACTAAAGTGATACTAAATGCTGTATAAGAATTGAAATTTTAACTTTACTCACAAAAATTGTTAGGTGTATGTGTGTGAAGTGAATTAGATTTGCTTGTGTATAAATGATTTCTGTAAAAGCCTTCCACACACCCAAAGGGGGGAAGTAAGGGGCTCATACCCTGGACACATTCACTACCTGTGTGTTTCATGAGATCTTCTGGACTGAGTTGACAGTTAAGCGATTCTGTTTACACTGAACTCTTTACTGAGATTTTTTTTTTTAGTTACTTATTAGTTAAACATGGATTCCTGCTTAACTAATACGTTAAGCATAACTTAGCCTTGTAGTCTCTGAGCACTTCACAAGCACCCTGAAGTTAGCAGATGAGAACAGCTATATTTCAGCCCTCTCCAATTTAGAAAACACTAAGTTAAATCTTTCAGTTCACATTTTTAAATTTACAAGCTTCAAATGGTAGCTTTTTCTTCTTCTTCTTCTTCTTCTTCTTCTTTTTTTTATTAGGAAATTACTGGATCCTCTCTGGCTTGTTGTGCATACTCCTTGTTCAAATTCTCTTCCATTTCACGCACCTTTCCACCCACCAGCATGATTGCCAGGGCAGCCGGTGGGTGAATAATTGCCTGTCTTCACAGGAGCTTGCTTGCAAGGGAGCTAAAGTGGAGGGCTGGCTTCCTGATGTATGCATGCCTCATTTGGATTCTGCCAACAGCCTTAGGGTGATATTATTCATGCCTTGACAGAGAGCACTCACTAAAAGCTTTGGAACCCAGCCAGGTACTGGCT